TTCCTAAGGACTGGAACTGTGAAGGCGTACCTACTCAAAAGTTCAACAGCAGTTAATATCCAGTTATACCCTTTGTTCTTATTTCTATATTTACTCATGTCAACTAAGTCCATCTGTATCTGCTCCCCTAGATACTCAACTGATGTTTGTCTGAACTTATGTCTTCTAACAATTGGTTTGTATCTGGTGTATGTATCCTGTGATTTAAGCCATAGTTTCACCTGCTTCCTGGTCACCCTCAAACCTTCAGCTAAGGCTTTCTGGTAAAGTCTTTCAGCAGATTGGTACCCTGTTTTGGGATTGTAGTAGATGTCCCTCAGCTCTTGCTCCAACTCTACGTCCTTTTCCATATGAATTACACAATGTATAACTCAAGCAGGATCTTACCGATTTCTACTGGTTTTCCAACTTGGTCTGTCACGTAGAACTTCAGCTGATTGAATGAACCTTTGTTAACTGGTACTTTGCTCTCAATGTCAAAGTACTCCGTAACCGAGCCGAACAAAGACTGAGTTGTTGTCACAGTCACCACATCGCTTCTGTTACCCTCAGTGCGAACGTTAAAGCTCTCATTAACTAAGTTACATGATATGTTGATGTACTCCAGCCCAAGATTTATGTTCATCCTCTTTTTACTAGTATATGTTGTGTCTGGATCAATAACCACCTCACTGTCGTCCATCGTTAGCCCGAGAAGTCTCGACAGGTATGTTGTCACACAAACGGAATTGCCGCTACCAGGTTTGATGTAACACCCACCGTTCGTACTAGTAGGTTGTAAGTCAACTCCTCCATTATCCCTCATCAGTTTCTGAACATCCTTGAAAGTGTAGTAACCAGAGTACATTACAACGTCGTTGTCATTAACTCTAAATCCATCGAATTGTTCAGTAACGTTATAATACTCCCAGAAGACAGTCGCTCTCTTTATGAAGACAAACTCATACTTACTTTTTAGTACTGAATCCTGTAAGTTCACAACCGTCCTGTAACTATCAATTAAAACCGTAAATTTCCTCATCTTATATAACATAAGGTATGTTATAAGATGAAACCCGGTGGTGGTCCAATTGGGAAGTCCCCGTATGTCCCATACCAGAACTATGAGAAAAAATACGGAAAAGATGAGGAAACGAATGACATCACAGACCATGTCGACCCAGTTGCGGGTAGGAAAGCTGTAGATAATGAAAGAGTAAGGTTCATGGCAAAGCATCCACATGCTGATATGAGAAGGTTCAGGTTTGAGGCAAAACCGACTAGTGGAGGTGGTATTGGAGTCGTGACCTGGTTTGTAGATCTTGATGGAATTACATCCTATGATATTAGGTATGATGGCTTTAGGAAGAATAAGGAGTTCACATCATATCTTACAGGGACCAGGAAGAAACCTATTACACCAGTCCAATATACACAAATGACGGATGTTCCATTTCGGGAACACTCTAAATTGACAGAATCAGGATGGCCCACTATGTGGACATCTGGGAAGGGAAAAGGATACGGAGTTAATCCTGATGATACAGTTGATGGATACAGTTATTTTCCTGGAATAAGGTGGCCTAAAGATGTTAACAGTTTTAAGGTATATGTTGATCCTACAAGTTCATTTGGTACTTCAGGTGGTGCAGGTGGACTTCTTCTCCCTAGTGTAGAAAATTCTGTTACCACTGACGGTATTGATGTAAAGTTCGACTACAAAAAGCCATACTTTGCCGCTCTCTGTGGTGCATACATCGCAACTCACCTAAGTGGAATTACCACTAGTCATTTGACCTTTACAGATAGAACCTATCCAGTTGTTACAAGTATTATGAATTTCCATGTTTACTACTGTATTATGAAATATGTGTATAACCCTGAAAGGATCAAACCGTATTTAGACAAGCTGGGTCCTGTAAAGAGTCACATTCCCATTGTTGGTAAGTGGGAAAAGAAAACTGACACTTATAGGGTTACCTACGACAAGGGACTTGAGTATGAAAGGTCGAGTTGGCTTAGGGGTAGAAAAAGTGGTAGTAATCTCGTCAGGAATGTGGTGGCGTCGCCTATTAACTCAGTTAATGGGTTCCTAATAAAGATAAAAATTAGTTACGAGGAAAGGGTTTCAACAAAATTAGTAAGTAAGTCTGACTATAAAAGGTTCATTGCTGTTAATCCCTTTAATGTTCCCAAGAATATTACTGAGACTGGTCTCCTGTTACTTAATGAGTCGGTGCAGGCATTCGTATATTCTGTGTTAGGTGCACAAGCGTCGACTAGAACTTCAATTGTTGGCGAGCTGGGAAAATCGTATTCTACCCAGGTAAAGTTTAGCAATATTGTTCACGATTGTATTGTACAAGCTGATCCCGTTGTAACTTTAACAAACATGAGAAATGCTATTCGTGACACAAATGTTATTCTTAATACTGCTATAACACCTGGGATAGTTCTGATTCCATCTAGTCTAATAATCCTGAAGAAGTACATTATGGGGTATAATAATGTGCTTGTGAATGCTACCAGAGACATGAAACGTGGTGTTAATCCAACACTAAACTACTTAGGTGCTCCAAAGACGGTCAAAAAGCTACATGGTAGTCACGAAGTGATTCATCACCTTCCCACCCTTGGTGACAAAACAGCTACCCCGACGAAGCACCCAGCACACGTGACACCACCCACGAAAAAACCAGACTCTCAGCTAGACGTAACAACTATAGTTATAGTTAGTGGATTAGTGTCATTCGTCACCTTAAAATATATATTATAATATAAGATGAGTCTATTCTTCGGATTCGATAAGAAATCACTTGAAGTTGGACTAATTAACCCTGGGTTCACGATGACTGGTGATATCAATATGGGAAATAATGAAATACTAAACTTACCTGACCCCTCAACTGAGAGCTCAGCTGTGTCGAAGGGGTGGGTTGATAAGGAGATATCAAAGGGTGGACCACAAGGTCTGTCAAGCTCTGGATTCACGATGACTGGTGACATCAAGATGGGTAGTAATGAGATACTAAACCTTGGTGACCCAACAACTGAAAATTCAGCTGTGTCAAAAGAGTGGGTGAAAACTGAAGTCGGATCTAGAGGTTTCCTGGAGAAGTCAGGTGGAACAATGAGTGGTGAAGTGAACATGGGAACTAATGAGATTAAAAACTTATCTGATCCCTCAACTGAGAACTCAGCTGTGTCAAAGGGGTGGGTCGAGAACAGAATCATCAGAAGTAGAAGGAAAAGGGAAACCTATAGTGGTATCACACTAACCGATGACCTAGATGTTGGAGGTAATGAGATTAGAAACTTGGGAGATCCCAGCACTGAGAAGTCTGCTGTTTCCAAGAAATGGGTTACCGATCACATAAGCGGTAGTTCGGTAAGCGCCAGTGGTTTCACTATGACTGGAGACATTAATATGGGTGGTAATATGATATCAGATCTTGACCCTGGCAGTGATGAAAAGAATGCTGCAACTCTGGGTTACGTTAGACTTCAAAGTATAAAACACCTCCAGCTGGATGGTGCGAGAGCAATGTCGGGTAATCTCAATATGGGATCTAACGAGATAAGGGCTCTTGGTAATCCCACAACTAGCCGGTCCGCTGTTACTTTGGAGTACATGACCGGAGCTCTAAATAGACCTGTCTCCGGACTTGACATTGCTGGAGACATTGATATGAAAAATCATGAGATCAAAAATCTGAGTGACCCAACAACGGATAAGTCCGCTGTGAATAAGAAGTGGGTCACTGATCATGTGAGTGGAAGTTCTCTCACTAGTAGTGGCTTTACGATGACAGGTAATATTGACATGGGAGGGCATAGCGTAGTGGGACTTGCAGGGGGCTCTGTGGGAGACACATCTGCAATGTCAAAGACGATTGACAGTTGGGGGTTACAGTTTGTGAAGAGAGATGGTGGAACTTTAGCTAGCAACCTAGACGTTAACGACTTTGAATTAACAAGAGTTGGTGATCCAACAACAGACAAATCAGCGGTTGGAAAGAAGTGGATAACAGATAGATTCATGCTAAAAACTGGGGGTCTGGTTGAAGATAATATTGATATGGGTGACTCTAGCAAAATAATTAATCTCATAGATCCAACTGACGACAGCGATGCAGTTAACAAAAAGTGGGTAGAAGATAGATTCACCAAATCAACTGGTGACATTGACCTTAAAGGATCAAGCATCCTGAACGTGAACACAACACCACCCGACTCAAAATCAGTAATAAATACAGAGTATGCAGATAAGAGGTACGTTAGGAGGAACCTCCACAAGTCAAGCTCTTGGGTGTGGGGTTATAAAGGGGTGTCAACAGCAGCAGTGAAGTATTACGCATACTGTCATGATGGAATACCACCATCTTGGAGATGTGATAGGATTGATGTTAACACTAACATCAATCTTGAATCAATAACTGTCAAGACAAACTCAGACAGATTTGAAGACATCACTGATGTCCCAATCGTGCCGATACTCTGGACCTCCATTCCAGAAGTTAAGGAAGGTGTATTTAGAGGAAGGTATGTGAAGAGGGAGATAGTACTTGCCACAATAGATATCAGCAGACTAGCACATACCTACTTCAATGGAACATACCAAAGTGACGGAGCTAGTACAGCATGCTATCAGTTTAAGGGTAACACTGAATACTACCTAGGCACACAGGTTGACGCACTAAACGCTCTAGCTTGGTGTATAATAATCAAACCTGAACACACCATGCCTACAGGTAAGAGCATGGACATGTCTTTCTCATGGTCTATAAACTATTCTGGTCCTGACTGATTTTAGATATGAGTAATATTATATGGGTAAAAAAGACAGAGCAAAAAGAGTGCTGATATGTGGATGTAATGCGTCATGGGAGTCTGAAGCCCTAGAGATACTCAGAGACATGATCAGGGAAGGAACATTAATGTTAAGTTCACTAGAGGAAATACCAGATCATCCAAAAGTCAGGAAAATAATGAAAGGGGTTCAAGTTTCCCAGAACAACGGTGACGTTCAAGGTGTATATAATACTGCCTCCAAGCCTGACCACAAGACCTGAAAATCAACTTGTAGAGCTTGAGGGTTCTAGCGCATTTTGTAGATGGTTGAAAGTGGGTGGCTTGAAGAGGTGATTTGAGTTAGTAAATTGTGAATAAGTTTCAAAACTGAGACTAGAAAATCAACTTGTAGAGCTTGAGGGTTCTAGCGCATTTTGTAGATGGTTGAAAGTGGGTGGCTTGAAGAGGTGATTTGAGTTAGTAAATTGTGAATAAGTTTCAAAACTGAGACTAGAAAATCAACTTGTAGAGCTTGAGGGTTCTAGCGCATTTTGTAGATGGTTGAAAGTGGGTGGCTTGAAGAGGTGATTTGAGTTAGTAAATTGTGAATAAGTTTCAAAACTGAGACTAGAAAATCAACTTGTAGAGCTTGAGGGTTCTAGCGCATTTTGTAGATGGTTGAAAGTGGGTGGCTTGAAGAGGTGATTTGAGTTAGTAAATTGTGAATAAGTTTCAAAACTGAGACTAGAAAATCAACTTGTAGAGCTTGAGGGTTCTAGCGCATTTTGTAGATGGTTGAAAGTGGGTGGCTTGAAGAGGTGATTTGAGTTAGTAAATTGTGAATAAGTTTCAAAACTGAGACTAGAAAATCAACTTGTAGAGCTTGAGGGTTCTAGCGCATTTTGTAGATGGTTGAAAGTGGGTGGCTTGAAGAGGTGATTTGAGTTAGTAAATTGTGAATAAGTTTCAAAACTGAGACTAGAAAATCAACTTGTAGAGCTTGAGGGTTCTAGCGCATTT